ATTTCCGGTCTTTTCCCGCTTGCCCAGCATCAAGTGACGTCACGCAAAACCACGTATCCGAGGTTTTACTAATATCGAAGGTAATCCTTTTTTCCTTTAAGTATTATTTCACAAAATAGTGAATAAAGTGTAAGAGCTAGATAGTGTTTGTATATGATTTTTGTAATATTTTTATAATTTTTTATGTACTTGTTAAATTATTTTGCTTAAAATATTTTAAGGTTATGTTCGTAAACTTGCATTATAATTGTCTCTCACCTCTTTGGTTCTTGGTTAAATATACAATACATTTTCTTAATTATTTTTTAAACAATGTCTTAAAAAGATGATTTAACATAAAACTGTTTTCAGTTCGCAGTATCGTTCCTTTGAAGTTCTCTAGCTTAAGCTTTTAGAACTTTATTTTATATTGTAAGTTTTATGTAAATATTTTTACGCTTACGGTCGTAATTTTGAAATAAAAATATCAATTAATAAGAAATTGACTGATTAATTAACCAAATCTAAATTATCCTATACAATATATGAACGCGCGCGCGTTTCAGCGTTTGGCTGTGTAAATGTGTGCATGTATATGTGATCTACTGCAACATTCCCATTTTTATCCTATCTTGATACTGTCTTTAAACTATAGACCTTCCTGCGAAATTCTATGGAAGATGGTACCGCGGACATACGATGATTCCTAGAACGTACTACGTACATCGCAGTACATTTGAGAATGTTCTGAGAATATTATAATTATACTTTTGCGATATTCTCAGATTGTTCTTAGTGTCTACATGTGCTGTTAGGGAACCGACGTTGGAAAAAGTGGTCCTTAATCATGAGAATTATATAAAACTTGCAAAAGGCGGGTAATAATATTGAAGATGTAATAACTTTTTCTATCAGTTTAATATCTGAATCCCAACACAGGGAATTTAGATAAACTGATTGTTCAGAAATTGGGTAGATAAATATCCGAATGAATAAAAATTATTTATTATTACTTAAGAGTGGAATCCAGTGTAGACTCCATTTTTCATAAAATTTTTAATGTTATAAAATAAATGATTTAAATTTAAAATTATTTTATTAGTTAATTAATTACATTGAGCCAAGTGTTTTTGTCATATATCCAGTAAACATTCGATATCCTATGTATACAGGGTGTCCCATTTAACTTGAGACAACTAAATAGTTCGAAAAATAAGCATTGTACGAAAAAATGTCCCAAATAAACTTTTAATATTATCAAGGGGGACGTCTGCCTGTGTAAAAATTAATCCGCCCCCACCGCCCCTTGGGGATGGGGCGGGTGGCAACTTTGAAATTTCAAATGGGAACCCCCATTTTTTATTGCAGATTCGGATTCCTTGGAAAAAAATACGTAAGTTTTGTCCGAGACATTTTTTAATTGTGATAGATGACGCTGTAATCAGTGAAAATTAGTTTTTGCCATTTTCTCTCACCATCGGGGTGCTTTATTTTGGTGAGTCCCCTCGCCTCTCACTATTCAATTACAATAAATGCTCGAAATGATGACCTTCTATTTCGATGCATTTATTAACTCGAGCTTGGAATGCTTGTGCACATGTACAAAGTGTATCTGGTGTTATTTGTGTGCAAGCATATCTAATACGTTCCACCATGTTTTCTCGAGTATTTGGTACTTCTGTATACACTTTTTCTTTAAGGTAACATAACATTATTTCAACTTTCAAAATTATTTCAAAATTATTTCAACTTTCTCCTCTAAAGATAAATAATCCATTATTTATTTGCTGAAATAAAGAACGCGTCCGTAAAAACACAAGTAGCTAGCGTACGTATTACTGAAATTTACTTGACTTGAAATTTAAAGAATCCAGTTATTGAAGAATTGTTCTGACTTAATTTCTTTCATTTATTTTGTTTCTCCTTTTCAGTATTTTCAGTATTTCAGAAATTTACTACATATGTAGATGCCTCATAGTTTTAGTACGCTAGCTACTTGTTTTTTTACGGACGCGTTCTTTATTTCAGCAAATAAATAATGGATTATTTATCTTTAGAAGAGAAAGTTGAAATAATTTTGATTTATGGTGAGTCTGGAAGAAATATCGACGATGGTGAGAGAAAATGGCAAAAACTAATTTTCACTGATTACAGCGCCATCTATCACGATTCGAAAAAATGTCTCGGACAAAACTTACGTATTTTTTTCCAAGGAATCCAAATCTGCAATAAAAAATGGGGGTTCCCATTTGAAATTTCAAAGTTGCCACCCGCCCCACCTCCAAGGGGCGGTGGGGGCGGGTTAATTTTTACACAGGCAGACGTCCCCCTTGATAATATTAAAAGTTTATTTGGGACATTTTTTCGTACAATAGTTATTTTTCGAAATATTTAGTTGTCTCAAGTTAAATGGGACACCCTGTATACATGGAATATCCATAATGTGAAAAAAACGTACTGTATATACATTAGATAAACTGATGTTCATCAAAAATTGGATAGATAAATATCCGAATAAATGAAAATTGTTTATTATTAAAAAACGTACTGTATATACTATGTACATACATAGAATGTACCTCATGTACATGCCACGAATGTGTATTGCACATCCTCGAAATATATCCTATGTACATACTGCGAACGTGCACTGCACATCCTCGGAATATACCCCATGTATATACCATGAATGTACACTGCATATCTTTGGAATATACCTATGTATGTACTATGGACATCCTATGTACATACATATGGTAATTATTTCACATACATAGGATATGCGCTTTA